GAAGGGTTTTTTTTGCAATCCTTCGTTCAAGGAGGGATTGCAATCCGACTCTCCAGAGCAGAAGGAGGGAGGATGCTGGCCCCGCTGGGCCGAGCATCCCCCTCCGGAGGGGGGCGGTCACCTTCACAACCCCCCAGTCAAGAGGAGAACTGGAGAGGAGGAGGCAGGCGGCGCGTCGGGGGCGGTGCCTTGTCCAGCGGCAGCACCTCCTGCCTAGCTGGGCACCCTGCCCCTTCTCCGAAACCCCTCCGCAAAGGAAATAGGGAACACACACACACACACACACTCAGAAGCGGACACCCAGGTACGGGACCCGCCACCCAACCCAGGCGCGAAGACGACAACGAGGGAGGAAGACGCAGCAGGCCCAGGCCAACGAGCAGCGAGGACGACGGCGGCTAAACAAACCGAGAACCCAACGACCCACAGCATGATCAGTCCAGGGAGCCTCCTCCTCTTCCTTGAAACATCTTGTTCAACACAAACATTCCTATCCTGTCACTTCTTTTCCTGGGAGTCGCCAATACTTCTGAGACCCTCTTCGTGCCTTCACATGTAATCCCCCCTTTATTGGAGACCAGAACCCCCAGTTTAATGTTCTGTCGTAGTATCGTTAGTAGGTTCATCATCTTCATATTCGTACCTGGGGTCGGGGCAGGTGTCTGCCTTTGTCGGAGAAGATCCAGCCATTATCCTCGGGTAGAAGACAGTCGACCTGATCCTGCCGCTCTACGGGCTCTCTGGGGGCTGCACTGCTCACGGTGAGGAGCCCGAGGCCGTTGTCTGCTGGCGGAGTTTCTCTTTGTTCTCTTCTATCTTGTCCTGGTGCTCTTTGATGGTCTTCTCTGCCTCCTGCTCCGTCGGCACCACTATCACTTCGACTTCCACGATTGGCGTTCTCTCGCGATTCTTCTTTATCTTGTAATCGTCGATCCACAACTCAGGGCGCCTGTGCGTCCAACCGTACGGGATCCACCTCATCTCGTCGTCTGCGTCCCACCACGGCAGCAGCGAGGTCTCCTTCTGCCCGCTGTCAGTCGACTTCGTGTTGTGGCTCTTCGCCGACTCGTCGGCCTGCATGCATTCGTAGCTCTTGTCTCTCGGTGACTGCTCGTCGCTGCCCGCTGGCCGCGCCGTGAGCAAGCCCTTCACCTTCAGGAGCCCCTCGATGCACGCGCTGACGCTGCTCATCTGGTCGCTCAGGTAGCTCATATCCTCCTCATCTGGGAGCTTTTGCTGGTCGGTAGTGCACTCCATGGCCTTGCACCTGCTTGGGCTGAGCATCAGCTTGTACTTGTGGTCCATCCATCAGCTTCAGCAGCCCTGTATCGGCGTCTGTCGTTGTAGAGGCCAGGACTGCTCCCGTCTTATTGATGTTCATCTCCGCACTCTTCAGCACGTACTGTACGCCTCCGATCTTGTCGCTGATGTTCCTGACCTGACCTACGCACCCCATGTTGCGCGCTGCTCTCTGTGAGTACTGCTCGATACTGCTTCTGCACTGCGCTTGAGCCCAAAGCAACTACGCGAACCCACAGTAGTAGCCTGTCAGAGTCCCGGGACCTTCTAGGCTGTAATTCCCTTCTCCCCTCCATCGTAACAATACCCGTAGTCGTGATGATGTGACGTGTTATCTCCCAGTCTGTGTGGTTTTTCTTTGTCGGTGCTGGCGTAGTCACTGTCGAAGAGGAGGAGGAGGAGGAGAAGGAGGAGGAGCGGGAGTTCGAGGAGGAGCTGGAGGAGAGGGAGGACGAAGATGGCGGCGAGGAGGATCCCCCTTTGAACACTGTGTTTTTTTCTGCTTCCCTTCTTGGTCTAAAGTGTCGGCCCTCGTGCCGAAGATGGCTCAATCTGCACGTTGCCACCTGTTTTGTCTTACGAGCGCTACGATCCCAGCCAATCCAAGTCTGCCTAACGTCAAGAGAGTTCGATGGGAAGCAGCTGGAGGAGCAGGTTGACGAGGATGACTCCCCCCCGAATCAGAATCCGCGGCTCGTCCAGGGCCCCTCAGCCGTGCCCCTGGGCTTATGCGACTCCCTTGCCCAATTCCGTCTCTCTCTCTCTCTCTCTCGCTCTCTCTCCCTCTCTCTCTCTCGTTCCTTCTCCCGTTTCCGTTCCCTCACCCTTTATAGGTTCGATCGTCGCGCTTACGCTCGAGGCCTCGCGCTTTGGGGTACGTCTGTCGCCTAAGTGGTGTTCCTAGCGTCAGGCGTGGCCACCTCTCTCGAGCAGAGCCCTCCGATACCGCGTGTGCGCAGCAACGCCTCAGCATTGAACCAGGCAGGCAGAAGCTTCGCATCCACATTGACGCGCTGGCAGGAATGGAGTGGCAGCAGCCAAATGCTGTTACCCGACGGCTGGCGGCACTGCGAGCACGGAGAGGCGGCCAAACGCCGTACTTCGAGATGACACCGACCGATGTGTGCGTGTGTGTGTGTGTGTGTGTGCTAAAACAGTGCCCCTCTCTCGCTCCCCCTCTCTCTCTGCCTGCTTCAGCTCGGCCCTCGCTCATCCCTATCGCCATCCATCGATGTCTTACCTTCTCCGCCTTCTCTTTCTCATCAAGGCTGTTCCACGCTCGGCAAAATTAGATCGGCTGGGACTGTAGTGTTCGCAAGGCGAAACAAGAGCTGCAACGCGCACATTAAACCGTGTTAGGCACGGTGGCCTACAAATTTGACCAGGGTGGGCGCAGCGGGAAAAAGGGCCAGGCAATGTGAGAGAAGCCTCCTCCTCCTCATTTCTCCTTATCGTACCTCCTCCCTCCTACACCGCCTCACGTTTCTTCCTCCGCCCTCCCTCCTTGACTCCCTCCTCCCCGCCCCTCCTCATTCTCCTCCATCTCCACAGGGCTACAGCTCCTCGTCCTCCCCGACTGAAGCCAGCCTGACAATGACGACGACAGTGACAATGACGAGCGCGACGACCTTGACCGACGACTTTGGCGACGACGGCAACTGCGGCCACGACGACGACGACGACTACGACGATTTTCCCGTAGATCCGACGTCAAGAACAATTGCAACATCGCGAAGCATCACCACTGGAGCCCTAGACGTCATCTTTCTGCGGCATTTCTCTAGGCGGATCGATCTCTGCAGTTCGCGTGGCCTGAATGCGGGAAAAAACGCCCGGCCTGAAGGAATGCCACGCTTGGATCTCAAGGTTTGGCAACGACAACGACGACGACTACGACGACGACAACGACCATGATGAAGACGATGACGACGACCACGACGACGAGGACGACGACGTGGATGACGACGACGACGACGACGACGACAACGACGACGACGCAGACGACGACGACCACGGCGACGACCACGACGACGCTGACGACGACGACGACGATGGCGGCGACGACGACGACGACGACGATGGTGGCGGCGATGGCGACGACGACGGCGACGACGACGACCTCCGAGGTGCCCGTGCGCGGCGCCTCCACGCCGCGCTGGTGCAGCTCCCCCACGGCGGCGGCGAGGCCGGGCAGCCGCTCGGTGGGCTCGTCGCTGGAGGCCCCGCTGCCGCCGCCAAAGACTTGCGCCGCGCCATTGCCGCCGTCGCCGCCACCGCCGTGGTCGTCGTCGTCGTCGTCGTGGTCGTGGCCGTGGTCGTGGTCGTCGTCGTCGTCGTCGTCGTCGTCGTCGTGGATCAGAGGAGGAATCGGTCTGGATACCGCTGCCGCCGGCAGCCCTCGAGGTCCAGAGCACGCTGCGCGTTGGGTTTGGACTGCCGTGTGTCGTGCTGTCCTGCCCTGCTCCCTGATCGGAGGAGCAGAGGGCACCGATACCGCTGACCCTTCCCTCGTCTTCGCTTTTTGGGGCCTCCTGTGAGGCTTTCGTCGCCACCGCTGGATTCTCTTCGTACTTCTGGTCAGAGTGCACTCCAGGAGACGTCTGGGGAGCGGTGGCACCGGTCAGAGTGAGGGGGGCGAACTGCCATTGTCCCCTGGTGCGTGGCAGAAGTGGCGTTCCGTCCGGCGGATTCTGCCTGTTGTGTTTGCTGTTGCGTTGTCGTCGTTCTCGAGCCCGACGCGCCCGCGACAGACCCGCGACCCACCCCGTACCCGCCACCTCACTCTTACCCGCAATTGCGGGGTGCTGCGTGTTCTTTGTCCCCCCAGTGGCTTGGCCTCGCTCGGGCGTGTGCAGCAAAAACGCAAGCGCGAAACCGACAACGGCTTCGGTAGCAAATCATGGGATCCTGGTATACCCTCCCAATACCGTCTTTAGCGTCGACGCGCGTCGACTAGCGAGTGGGAGTCGATGGGGTAGTGCCGACTTGGCGTCGGCTAGCGTCGGTTAGCGTCGATTTTGCGTCGATTTGGCGTCGCTTAGCATCGACTAGCGTCGATTCGTGAGAGCCGGCAGGATGGTATAGAAGGCTCCCATGAGTTAGGGATGGACGTCCGAGCGATGGCAGGGTGGAGGCTTGAGCCTCGAGGGTGGAGGTCTGCAGGGGCCCTCTGCCTGCTCTCTCGGGGCTGGCCGCGGGGGGCCCCGGGAGGCCAGCGGAGGGCCCCTGGGGAGGCCCCGAGGGCTCGGCGGAATCTGCCAGAGACCTCCAGAGGCCGTCGGGGGCCGTCGTGGGCCGTCGTCGTCGTCGTCGTCGCCGTGGTCGTCGTCGTGGTCGTCGTCATCGTCGTCGTCGTCGTCGTCGTCGCCGTGGTCGTCGTCGTGGTCGTCGTCGTGGTCGTCGTCGTCGTCGTCGTCGCCGTGGTCGTCGTCGCAGCCGTCGCGGTCGTGGTAGTCGCGGTCGTCGGTGTCAGAGGAGGGAAGCGGGGTGATGGTGGTGGTCGCCGTCGTCGTCGTCGTCGTCGTCGTCGTCGTCGTCGTGGGCCGTCGTTGTCGTCGTCGTCGTCGTCGTCGTCGTCGTCGTGGTCGTCGTCGTCGTCGTCGTCGTCGTCGTCGTCGTCGTGGTCGTCGTCGTCGTCGTGGGCGTCGTGGTCGCCGTCGTCGGCGAAGCAGTCCAAGAGCAGTCCTGCCTGGCCGCTGTGCCTCCAGAGCCTGCCGCGCACGCGGCGCGCGCCAGGCGCCCCGGGCGGTTTGGCAGGCCCCCCCGTGCGTGGCCAAGGGGCCATCATGAGGGCGGCAGTCGTGGCCGCGGCCGCGGGCGTCGCCGCGCTCGGGAAGGCGGCCGTGCCCGTGGAGGCGGCCGACCCGGGCGCGCCCTGGCGCAGGCTGATCGGCGAGGCCTCGGCGGTGCACCCGTCGACGTCGACGTCGACGGCCACTGAGGGAGAGAGAACACTGCCTATACGGTAGGTTCGCGTCGTGTCGACCGGCGGCGGCCCCGCCAGCGGCGTTCCACGCGGAACGCCGCGGGCGACCCAGCATCGGTCGATGTGGACAGATTTGGACGTGTCGGAAACGGCCGCTCGTTCACGGTGGAACGCTCCCCGCGGTGTCAGAGACGCCAGCGCCGAAGTCGGCACGACACGAACCCGACGCAAACGCGGGCCGTCCGAGGCGTCCTTGGGTCGGCGCCGGGGCCCCCCCCCCCGTGGAGGCGTCTCCCGCGCCGCCCCCTGGCGCGCTCCGCGCGCCCCGGTCAAGGGGGCCGAGCGCCGGTCCACGAGCCTCGCGCGGGGCTCCTCAAGTTTGTGCTCCTGCGCGTTGGTTTCCCTGGCAGGCCACGCGGGCCGCGACGACGTCGTCGACGCGCACGGCCACGACGACGGCGGCCGAGTGCCAGCCGGCGCGGCACCTCATGGACACGTTCACGAGGGAGGCGTTCCCGGCCAGCCTCGGGAGCTGCGCCCTCGTAGGCTCGGGCGGGGCCCTGAAGGGCAGGGGCATCGGCGGCGAGATCAACGCGCACGACACCGTGATCTGGAAGGGCGAAACAACGCGCAGACCCAACCTTTCCTGACAAGCGAGCAGCACGCACTCGCACCCATAGTGTGGACGGCGGGGGCTGTGGGTGCGTGCTGTCAGATGGGGGTCCCCGCTCGAACGGGCGCCTCCCCTGGGGCCCGACAACCCGCACCCATGCTCATAGCCAGGCCGCCTCCCTCCGACCCACCTACGTATGGGTATGGTTCAGTCGGGCGTGTCCCTCTACAGGAGGAAAAATCAAAAATAGTTAAACAAAAAAAAGTCATTAGACGATTTTTCTAATATCTTTGGAAATTTGTTGTTTCCTTTCATTTTTCGTCCACAACCCGCCTGTAGGAGGACATGCCCGACCTAAGGGTATGGGTCTGGGTGTGTGTGTGTGGTCCACTTCCGTCATTTGCCGAGATCCGGGCGGATGTCTTGGGTCGGCTCTGGGCCCCCCTTCCCGCACTCCCAGCGGCGCACCTCCCGGCTTCCGCCGCGTGCGCGCGTTTGGCGCGCCTCAGGAGAGGCTCATGCTGTTCCAACCTACGTTAGCCTTGATCACCAAAACGAAATTCGCGCACCAGGAAAGTACCGAAACTGGATGGTTGTCACGCGTCGGTTCCTGGGAGGCGATATTCGTTCGACACTGTTTCGATACTTCTCCCAGTGCTCAAATCTATTTCTGGGATCACGCCCTCAAGTGCGATGGGAGCAGCATAAGGAGAGGCATGCACCGAGGCGGGTGCAGCGCCGGCCCCTGAACCAGAGGAGCAAAAGGTCAAGCAGGAGGAGGAGGAGGGAGGAGGAGGAGGACGAGGAGGAGGAGGAGGAGGAGGAGGAGGAAGAGGGGGAGGAGGAGGAGGAGGAGGAGGAGGAGGAGGAGGAGGAGGAGGAGGAGGAGGAGGAGCAGGAGGAGGATGAGGAGGAGCAGGAGGATGCGACGTTGGCTGGCTCCCAGGCTGCCCAGGCTTCCAGGATCTCCAGGGTCGGAGGAGGGAAGAGGCACCCGGTGCACCTCTGCGATATTTGTTTGACTATTTGGGGGGTATTTTTTGTTCTTCGTCGAAAATCCCCCTGTAGGGGGACAGGCCCGACTTAAGGAGAGGCCCGAGAGGGGTAGCTCAGAGGAGGAAAAGGTACCCATACCTCTACCCTTCGCCCGTTTTCCCCGATTCGGGCCTCCTGGGGAGCCCTCGTCGCCACCGCTGGATTCGCCTCGAGATCCTGGTTCGAACGCACCCCAGGAGAGGTCCGGGGAGTGGCGGTATCGGTACCTCTTGATCTCCCCAGTAGCGGCATCGGCATCTCTCAGCGTGCCCAGCCCATCAGGGGTCCCCAAGAAGGCTCCGCAGGGGCTCCAGAAGCGAGGGCTGCCAGGCATCTCTGCATGATCCTGGAACGCATCCCGAGCCAGCCCCATCATGACATCAGCCTCGTCCTCCAGAGAAGTCGTGCGCGGCTCTGCGGAAGGGTAGGTCTACGAGTTCGTTTGTGCTTCTGCGGTCCGCGTGAACCGCGTCCCTTCGGAGCCCTACTACTCCGACCTCGGCAGCAAGACCAACGTGTTCTACTCCAACTCTGCCACAGACACGTACCCGTCGGGGGAGCTCGGCGTTTGGATCACGAAGATCAGGGAGGGCAATTCCATCGGAGAGAAGATGTATTGCCCGTTCCAGCGCAACGCCTCCTCAGGCAACTGTCCTTTCGAGCACTTGGTTGTGGCACGGTCGACGAAGTACGGAAGCGACAGGAGGGGATCCAGCAGAAATGGAGGGGAGGGAAGGGAAGGGAAGGACAGGTTCATTGAAGGAACAAGAGATGGGTATGGACCCTCAGGATTGGCGATAAGATCAACATGCCGTTCAGGATCCCAGATTACTTGCAACCTCCTTTCGATGTATCGCATCCTTCGTTGGCGTTGGAGACATTCTACTGGAATTCCGCCCCGATGCAGGGCTACTACACCTCCGGCGGCCTGAAGGCGTTCTTCACGGTCGCTCCGCTGTGCGACTCGGTCACGCTCTACGGCTTCGCCGGCAGCGGGAACATCGATAACCACACCATCGACACCGTTCACAGCTTCGACACCGAGCACCAGTGGCTCCACCGCATCGCTGTGGGCGACGCGCGCGACTCCGACTTCAGTGCCGTCGGCGCCAAGGACTGGCTGTTCCAGAACGGCCTCGACGACTCCGTCATGGAGGATCGACGAACAGAAGCTGCATCACATCAGCACAGACTGTCGGATCTCCGCGTTGACTTCGTGGAGCGACGCTGCCCCCCCCCCCCCCCCTGGCGCGCTCCGCGCGCCAGGGGAGGCGCTAGAGGCGCCGCCAGGGAGGGGGGGCAGCGCCGATCCAACGAATTCCGCGCAGACCTCTGACAGCACAGTTTACGTGTGCACCCCTGTCTCTTCTGTTGGAGGAGCTGCCGACGGTCATCAAGGGCCTGCAGGACCGCCTGAGGTGCCTCGGCGAGCGGGGCAAGATCCGCATCGACGGATGGACCTCGCCCGCCAGCGAGGAGCTTCAGGGGCTGATGGCCGTCGCGGAGAGCCGCGCAGATGCCGGAGCTCGGCGGCGAGCAAATCTTGAGCAGGGTCCAGCCAGAAGATAATGACGGGGAACCTTGATCAGGTGGGGGTACGACATGGATAGCTCGTTCCAGAGAGTATTGGGACGCTCTCAGAGCGTTCCAGAACGCTCTGGGAAGGCCGCGGCGCCCGATACATGCTCTAGAAACGCCAGATCTCAGGGCCACACGATGTATCTCTGGCTGATGTTTGTTTCTGTCCTGGCTCCGTCCCACCTGGCATCCGCACAGTCGAGACGCTGAAGGAAGGACACGCTTCGGGTTCGGAAGGGGCTCGTTGTTCCTTCGGTCACTCCGTGGTTGTTCCTCTGGCTCTCCTCGGGCTCTCAGGCGCTCTCGGTGCCAAGAGGGGGCTCCGTTCTTTATGCAGCGCTCCTTGTGGCAGCAGCTCGGCTGCGGTACACCTCTGACGCTGACGCCTCCAGTTCTGTGCGCCACCGAGGAGTGTCGCGCCGCGAGCTACTGGTCAGGTCTGCCGCGTATCGTCACGGAGTGCACGGGTTACTCGAGAGATGGTGCGGTCGCCCACTCTCTTCTACCTCCTTTTACTTTTTCTCCCCAAAAATGATGCCACCCGAAAAGACAAACAGACGGGTGGCGCGCCGCGGCGCGCTCGAAAAGTGCCTCCTGGCCCATCCTGTGCCACTTTCGTGGGCCACGCCCCGCTCGACAAGTGCTGGTATTGTCCAAGGCCCCTGCATCCTTGCCGCGCCTTCTTGCCATCAGCTCTGCCCCGTCATGCACTGCTGACGCCTCCAACTCTAGAGAGTGTTTTTGTCACCCTCTGGGCGGCAGTCCAGATAGATCTGTGGGTCTTGAGTGTCATTTGTTAGCACTGGAAGATCAGGGTCCCCCCCCCTCACCCACCCCCCATAAAGTAGCGCTCCCCCCCTCAGTGCGCCCCTGGCACTGCCGCAGTGCGTCCGGCACCACAGTCTGGGGGGTGGGGGGCGCTACTTTATGCCCCCTCCCTCCCCCTCCCCCCCCTCTAACGCCCGTTACAGTCAACCCGCATGGTAGGGATGGGCAACCTTCCCAAGGGTACCCTTGCATCCTTCCCTCCTCGGCCCATCCTTGACCACTTACGTTGGCCGCGTCCCGCTCGAGAAACGCCGAAATGGGCGCCCAAGGGCCCTGCATCCTTATCCTGCGCCCTTGCGATTCTCGGGAAGGTCGTAGAGAGCTCAGATGGTTTCAGATCACAAAGCTGGAGCCGCAGGGTGGCCCCAGAGCTCGTGCCGTCTTCGCTCCGGAATCCCCGGCGCAGCTTGTCCGAACTCGCAGCTTGTCCTGAGAGCCGCCTTTTTGCTCAGCGTTTGCCACTACATCGGCCCAGAAGCTCTCCAGGAGTTCCTCCCGAAGCTCCCTCGAGGAGCTCCCAGAGCTTCTTCGAGAGGCCTTCGCGCGTCTTTCCAGCGCCCCGGTGTCCGGAGTCTGACGCCCCGTGCTACCTGGGTTGGGGGATTCTTCCGAGCTCGAGGCTGGGGATGTCTCGAGCGAGAGAGGGGGGTCCGCACCACCAGGGAAAGACCCCCCTTGCCTCCTCGCACCTCCTCGCCCTAGTGGCGTTGGTGGCGCCTTCCCTTGTTCCCAGTGTGGCCGCGGATGAAGAGATGCGCTCCTGTGCGCTGCCGAGGCGGGCGGAACGGCGAGCGCGGGGGGGAAGTGAGAAGGGGCGGGCCTTCTCAGAAGGCTCGGATGTTCCCGCATACTGAGAAGTGGTCTGAGCCTTCCATGCAGACAGAGGAAACTTCTCAAACGGCTCCAGGGCTTCTGAGAAGTCCCGCCGCCTTCTGTGAGGGTCCTCTCCTTTTTTCTTCCCCCCCTCGCTCGCCGCCGAATAACGCCCGTCATTGCCGCGAGTAAATACATGCGTCGACCCGCAGAGGTCTGGACCCGTTCCCTGGGAGCGGCTTGTCGTCCCGAGTCCTTCTCTGATGGCCCTAGGGCCTGGTAGGGCCCCCCGGAGGTTGAAAATCGCACACTAATTCCCGTCGTAATTCTTTCCCCCGCGCCATCACCCACGAGGGGAAGAAACACACAGACATCATTAATCGTCGACTTCCAGGAAAATATGGGAAACGATGGGAAGGTGGGGGTGAAGACACAAGCCCAGAAAAAAATATGAAAATACGTGGAATCCTTGTTATTTGTGTGTATTCATTTGTGTGTGTCCAAGGGCCCCTTCAATCACGCCCGTTATGCGAGTAGAACAATGCGCTCCCGTGTGCGCCGCCGAGGAGCGGCGCGCCGCGCCGCGCTTCCCGCGCGCCGAGGGGCGCCGTGGAGCGCGCCGGTGGCCGGCGGCTTCGCGCTGCTCGCGCTGCTCGCGGCGGTGGCCGGCGGGCGGCGGCGCCAGGCCGTCGAGGGGGAGAAATACGAGTGGGGCGCCGGAACCCTCGATCCACAACCCTCGATTCTCCTCCTCCTCCTCCTCCTCCTCCTCCTCCTCCTCCTCCTCCTCCCTCCTCCCTCCTCCCTCCTCCCTCCTCCCCTCCCTCCTCCCTCCTCCCTCCTCCCTCCTCCCTCCTCCTCCTCCTCCTCTTCCTCCACTTCCTCCTCCTCCTCGTCCTCCTCCTCCTCCTCTTCCTCCTCCTCCCGTCCTCCCCCCCCACACACACAATACTTTTGCTAAAGACTGCTTCCATTGCGGGACGAGCGCGCTTTGGCATTCACGGATCGCTCTAGTCCGAGCGCGGCAAGGTTCTTGGAACCTGGTTTTGTTTTCGCCTTCACCGAGGGGTCGGGCTCCCTCACATATTCCATCTCCTTTGCAGTAGTCTCGGGTGGCACCCGCACTCGCTCATGACAGCTGGAAGCAAGGCGCGCCGTGGCACCTCCAGCAGCAGCTTCAGCAGTGGGGTGGTCAACGCCATCCTGGACGGGGCGGAGGCGGTCAAGCGGCCCCGTCCCCTTTCATGCAGTTCGGCCACGTCTCCCAGTCCCCGTTCAGCAACGTCGACTTCGGAGGAAACGGCGGCGGCAAAAAGCGGGGGCACTGGGCCTGCGTCTTTTGCCCATGTATGAAGAACCCACACTACGCGTCGGCTTGCAACCACTGCGGCGGTGCCAGGGCAACCCCAGGTTTTGGGCCAGGCACGACGCCAAAGGGTGTCTGGGGCGCTCCACTGCCTCCTCGTGGCGCTGGTGGTCATGGGCCTGCAGGTGGTGGGGCTCACGGTCAACAGCCAGCAGGTGGCGGAGGTGGTGGCCCCAAAAAGCCGCCGCACACCGATTTGTCGATTGAGGAGCTGGAGTCGCTCCTCACCATGCTGCAGAAGTGTTGAGACACAGCTGGGGCCAGTTGGTGCCAGCGCGCCCTGGAGTCCAAGAAGGCGGCTTCCAGGGAGCAGCCGTTGCAGCAACGCATCAACGTTGCCTTCAACAACCTGCGCGCAGCCGAGGCCAAGCTGTCGCGCGCCATGGAGACTTACGACCATATCGCCAACAACCTCGCTAAGCAGCGGGGCTTCGTCACGAGCGTCAACCAGGAGCTTGAGGCGCACGAGCAGCTCCACAAGCAGCTGGTGGAACAACTTCACGCTGAGTGCTCACAGCCAGCGCCCGCACCTTCGGCAAGCCCCAAGGCTGAAAGGTCTGTTCGCGACCTCCTCGGCGGCAATGTGGCGGATATACCCATCGTGGTGGGCGACCTGTTTGAGGCTGACGACGGCGCGGATCTGGGTCTGTCCGACGAGGACCGCAAGCAGGCGGAGGCGTTGGTGGATACTCTCGAGCAGGGCCTTCAGGAGGCCTCCGAAGCATTGTTCAAGAAGGCCGTGCAGCACGCCGGCAAGGTCAATGCTGATCGCGAGTCCCTTCTTGCGCGGCTCAAGGCGAACCGCCGACGAATTGCGCCTGAGAAATCAGAAGCAGGAGGAGGTGACGCTTCACATCCTGAGGCACCCGCTCCTGAGCCTGCCGCTGCTGCGGACCCGCTGAGCCCCCAACTGGCGCTGCGCCCGCTGGAGGCGGGCCAGCCGACCCCCGACGACGCGCGGGGTCGGGCAGCCAAGATCGCCGCAGAGGCGGCGGCGGCCCAGCAGCAGCTGTAGCCAGCGTTTGTCAAGGGCCTCCAGGTGCCTGGGGAAAGGGCCGGCTGCTTTGTGGAAGGCTTCGAGCTCGGTCATGGCCAGGGCTAGCGACATCCTGTCGGTCTCCTCCCAGGCCCATGTTTTTGGGCCGCAGGAGCCTCCTGGCACGAATCTCGCGCGGTCGGCCTTTGTGGGGTCGCCGTCCAGGGACGAGCTTTCTTTGATTCTCGCTGCTGCTAACGTTTCGGGTTGGGGCTCGGCTCAAAGTTGGCTTAAGCAAACTGGAGCCCGCGTGGTCTGTCTCCAGGAGCATCGGTTGTGCAAGCAAGAGGACCTCGATCAAGCCTCGGCCTGGGCCCTCCGACAGGGGTGGAAGGCTCTCTGAATCCCAGCTATCCATGACGAGTCTTCGGGTACAAGAGGAGGCGCCGCAATTCTGGCAAGACAGCGCCGGGGGCGACATCCTCTCAGTCACTCTCATCTCTATGCATGGCGAGCGGTAGGAGGAGTGGCTCAGCTTCCAGGAGGAGCGAGCATCGCGGCGGCCAGTGTGTATTTTTGCACGGGGCTGGGCTGGTGGAGCGCAACTTGTTTGTTTTGAAGGAGGTCGGAGAGTTCGTCGCGGCTTCGGGAATGCCATGGCTCGTGGGAGGGGGCTTCAACCTCGAGCCTCACACCTTCCCCACCTCGTCGTTCCTCGACACCGCGAATGGAGAGCTCCTCGTCCCACCTCAGTCCACCTGCTTTACCGCGGGAGGGATGAGGACCAACGACTCCTTTATAGCTAGCCGCGGCTTCAGCCAGGCTGCTCGTCATGTCTTTTTCGGAAGCAGCCACGAATCGGCCTCGATGGGGTGATCGGTCCCTGGATTCAGCCTCCGTCTTTCAGTTTCGGACCGAGCCGGGCGAGGCTCGCCGCTTGGCGCTGACGGGAAAGGGCGCAGCCACTCAAGACTGCGCGGACACAGCTGACGAAGCCCGGGCTGATTTGGCCGTAGTCGAGTTGCGCAACCGCAAAGGGGACCCCATCTCTCCTTCGGGCCTCAGGGGGCTCAAGCCGAAAGTCCCATTGTTTTTCTTTTCGCCGCTCGGGCGGCGGCTGGCGGGGGGGGGCTCAAGCCGTCGCCTCCTCAGCGTGACCCTGAGGCGGAGGCGGCGGACTGGCTCTTCGATCCCCCGTGCGAGCCTTGCGCGGAGCAGGGGGCCCCTGTCCCCTCCCCCCCGCGCTGCGCTCGACTCGCTCTCGAGACCATTGGTGCAGGACGCGTGGCTCCTCAGCAGGAGGGCGCCGCATCTCCGTCGAGGGGCGTCGGCGCGGATTTTGCCGCTGCGCGCGACGCCCTTTCCGACGTCCCGCCGCAGGTGCAGGCTGGGAAAGGCGAATGCGCTCATTCGTTTGCCGAGGCCCACCGCCTTGCGGCTCGGCCCCTAGCCGCGGGCACGCGTGCCGCTGCTAAGGGGCCGCTCAGCAGAGTGACCCTGGCGGTGGACACCGTCGACAGCGCGGCCAGGGCACGAGGCCGCGCGCCCTGGGACGCATGAATCAAGGGGGGATAGAAAAATGAGGCGAGGAGGGTTCATCAAGTCACGGCTGAGCCCACGGCCTGGTCGCCTCCCGCGGCGCCGGCCAACGATGGGACCATGGCTTGCGACCCCCGTTCTATCATCGCCACGGAGGCTTCCAGGTTTCATGCGCCATGCCTCTATCGACCCCCGACCCCCCCACCCATCGGGGCTTCGCCCCCAAACCCTGAGCTGAGTTCCCCAAAGTTGATGCGGTGAGCACTTGCAGTGGTGAATGCAAATCTCGATCGGCGGTCAGCGCCGACGGCTTCCATTTGCAGCAGTTCGCATGGCTCCCGGATGAATGCCTGGAAGCCCTCCTGCCTCTGCTCAACGTGATGGAAGTGTCGCCCCTTCTCCCGTTCCAAATCCAGTTGGTTGTTTCGATGATGCCCCCGAAAGCTTCCGGGGGCTTCCGACCAATTGTTTTTCGGGCCCATTCGTCTGCAGGGGGGTGCCAGACGGCCGCCGCTGGCGGTCAAGTTGGGGCGGGCGCACCAGAGGCCATGGTTTGCTGCTGGAAAGTGCACGGGGGCGGCCGATGCAGCCTGGCGACAAGCACTCCTGTCGGAATGAGGGGTTGCAGCTGTGCAGTGCTCGGCCACCCCCCTGCGGGACTTCCACAAGTATTATGGATCTCTGTCGTCCGAGCGGGCATTCGAACGATGCAGGCTGCATGGCTTCCCGCTTGGCGTGGCCAAGCTAGCCTGCCAGGGCTACCGTGCGCCCAGTTACATCAGCCTGCAAGGCATGTTGAGCGTGCCTTTGTGGGCCTTGCGAGGCGCGGTCGCAGGCTGCCCTTTCGCGACGGCGCTCATTCGCGCGAACTCGCTGGCGGGCATGGGCTCCAGCGTCTAGCACAGTTGCATCCGTTGCAGCCCGTGCGTCGATGATAACGGCATCCGCGGTCAGGGGGTTGTTCAGGGCGCCCAGGACCTTCTGGAAGTTGTGCGCGAAGATATTGGTGCGACCTCGGCCGAAGATAAAGCCGCTCTCCTCGCCTCGAATCTGGCCCGGGGGCTTGGCGCCCAGAGCCGGATGGAATCGGCCCTGCCTGGCCCCGTTGCCCCCGCGGTGCCAGACTTCGGAGCTGGCGGTTCGGGAAGACAATCTCTCCGACGCAAGGGCCTCCTCTCAAAGGCGAAGAAGGGGAAGCAGGAAGCTCGTGCTAGGACGAGGAGGCTTTTCCGTCTGACGGCGGGCAGCGTAGATCGCAGGGCTTGCTCGGCGCGGGTCTGGCCCTCTCCCTGCTTCGACCCACGCTGCCGAGATCCACGGGGTCTCTGACTGCGAGCTGCTTTCTCTGCGCAGGTCGTTCTGCTCAACGTTGAAGCCCAGTGCGGGCGACAGGTCCCCCTCGATCCTGCTGCGTCTCGAGCAGGGCCCACCCTGGCTGGTGCAAATTGCGCGCATTGTTAGGTGGTCCAAGGAAGTTTGGAATTCCAGGCTCCAGGTCCACCAGGCTGTTCTTCCTCTCTCCACCCTTCGGGATTCCTGGAATGAGATGTTTGCCAAACCTCTCATGACGTGGAGGTCTGCGTCGGGCCCGGGGCCCGCGACGAGGAAATCTTTTCAACGTATAGGATGGGAAATGCCCGACTTCGCCACCCTTGTCACTGATCTTGGCCACGCTGTCTCGCTCGCGGAGCACTCCCCTGCCATGGTGCGGCAGCGCCTGTTCGAGGCGGCCCTGCGCGTGCAGGCAGATAGGTGACAATAACGCTTTCCCCAACAGGGCTTGCTTCGATTTTGTGCCGAGGCA